AGCCTATAAGAGTCTTTTCTGGTGGAAGATCTACCACTGACCATGTGTTATTTTCCTCAAGAGCTGCAATTTCAGTCTGCATTTCATCAATCCACTTAGGATATCTACTGGTTTCAGAGAAAGACCTAGGCTCCAAAATAGCAGAATAGGCAGCAATAGAAGCCTGATAAGTTGGGAAAAGATTGTTGTAGCCTACATAGTTGGCAATTGGATATTGACAGGCACCCTTCTGAGGTTGAACTACAAAGTATTTCAGCCACACATGTGGCTTTGTGGTTCTTGAAGTCTTCCTAAGTTCCACCACGGAAGTAGATGGCAAGGTAGATGGAGAGACTTGTGAAGGTGACAAGTCAGTAGTTGAGTGATCTTCAGAATAGTTGAATATAGGATCTTCAACAGAAGCTAAAGTAGGAGAGTTGATTGCAGAAGTAGGAGTTGTATCTTGATGTAAAGGTTGAGATGAAGTCTCAACAAATTTCAGCATAGGAAATAGAATGGAAGAATCAGAAGTCATGTGTTTGAAGGGGAATACCTCCTTCTTAAATACAACATGCTTACTGACAAAGAAAACCTTAGAATGTAGATCATAAAGAATATACCCTGTTTGGGAGGAGGAATACCGCATATGAACTGATGGTATAGCTCTAGGACTGAATTTGTTACATTTCTTCACATTGGTTGCATAGCACAGGCTACCAAAGACCTTGAGATGTTGTAGAGAAGGTGACCTGTGAAATAGCTGTTTAAATAGAGATTTACCTTGTAACACCACAGTGGGCAATTTGTTCAAGAGATAGACAACAGTGGATACGTAGGCCCCCCCAGAATTTTAAGGGCACAAAAGCCTGAAATCTCAAAGCCTTTGCCATGTCTAAAATGGATTTGTGCCTCCTTTCAACAACCCCATTCTGTTGGGGTGTATAGATACAAGAGCTTTGATGCATAATTCCTTGTTCCTTCAACAAGATGAATATTTGTTCATTGAAAAACTCTATTCCATTATCAGTTCTAAGGCATTTTACTCCACTACCAAATTAAGTTTTGACCAGTATTAGGAAGTCTTTTATCACAACTATAGAATTAGCTTTAGTGTGCATAAGATAGATCCAGGTGTATCTAGAATGATCATAAACTAGAGTTAAGAAATACCTTTTACCATCATAAGTTGGTACCCTGTAAGCCCCCCCCCCC